AAAGGAAGTTCCTGCTTTTGAAATAAATCCTTGCTGCTTGCCATTCTGCTCTTTTCATGTAACTCATATCTTGAGGTGCCATTTGTTAAGTGTTTGTCTTTCCCTTACTACACTCACCTATCTTCCCAAAGTATCATATATGTTCACTCACCAGTTGGCTTAAATGCTTTTCCAAACACTGTCAATTTGAAAGTGGCAGCATTTTGTTGTAATGCTAAGTTGCCTCCAGATTTGAGGCAGCTGTAACCATGTTACTGTATGGGGAGCTGCTCAATCTGTGGAAATGGTCCCGTAAAGGGGAGACAGAAACAAGTGAAAGATGATTCATATTCGTTTACCAATAAGGAGATATGCCCCCAGAATGGGTGATCTCAACATATATGTTGGTAAAGAAGGCTTTTATCAGAATGAGGGAGATCTTTTCTGAAATAGGTCAAACTTTACTTGAGTGATGTCAGTTTCTGGGAAGGGAGTCATATTTGCTGAGAAGGCCATGGGGAGGAAGGCCTTCTGTCCCAGAGGAAGAGTGGCTTATCCAGGATGGAAATGGCCTGTGCTTGGCTGGTGATCATTAGCCGTCGCAGAGCAGGAAACCTGCCTATGCCTGAGCAAGCCATTAGTGTACCACTGTCTTAGACAGATATGTAACCTTTCTCTTGAGCTTATAAATTTGGCTGGGTTACTGGTTCACAGGGAATTGGGGAGAGGAATCCACTAAGATTAACAGTGTCCAAGCCAAGTGGGACTCTGTTTGCTGTGAAGAAGGAAGACAGCTTTTTAGATTGGCTGGAGTTGCGGGATGTTGCACCAGAGCTAATGAGAGTGTTGGTCACTAGTTGAGAAGGCTAGGTTTCATGTAATTATGCCACTGGTGGTATAATACAGATTTGTTAGATCTCAGGTTTTTCTAATTTTATTGGGCATATCTTGTCCTGAACAGGAGTATCTAGGGAAATATTTTTCATGAGCTACATTGGGAAAGTCTAGAGAGGATGACGACCTCTTTTTCAAATTCCTGAAAATAAAAATATCACAGGTTACCACTGACTGATATTTTATTCTGAGAAAGAGAGTATATTTTTCTCTCATTCCTCAGTCCCTTTCAGGTTCTTTATTAAATTTGACATTTGATCCATCTATTCAATCTCTTATGTATTAGTTTCCTATGGCTGTTGTAAAAATTATCACAAGCTTGGTGGCTTAGAACAGAAATGCAGCCCTCACTTGTTTGGCTCAATGGATAGAGCATCAGCTTGCAGACTGAAGGACATCAGGTTCAGTTCCGGTAAGGGCGTGTGCTTTGGTTTGCGGGCACATCCCCAGTGGGAGGTGTGTAGAAGGCAGCTAATGGATGTATCTTTCTCATCAATGTTTCTAACTCTATCCCTCTCCCTTCCTCTCTGTAAAAAAAATCAATTATAAAGAACAGAAATTTGAAATCCGCTCCTTTAGGTGAAATCAAGGTATTGGCAGTGGGGTTGTACTCCCTCCGAAGACTTTAGGAGCTGTCCCTTCTTCCAGCTTCCTGTGATTGCTGGCATTCTTTGACTTGTAGCTACATTATTCCAGTCTCTGCCTGTCTTCACATTGCCTTAGCTAATCTTCCTCTACCTAATGGCTTTTAGATAATCCTATCTTGAGAGACTTAATCACACAGAGGATAACATGTACTGGTTCCAGGGAGTAGGACCGATCTCTTTGGAGGCTGCCATCCAGCCCACTGCAACTTATTAGTGTGGAATTGGCCAAATGGTGATTTTTTAATTCTATCACTCCTTTTCTCTCACTTGTTTATTTGTAGCTATAAGAAATTTTATCCTGAATTGCAATCTATCATTTATTTTCTTTTTTACAGTTTCAGATCTGGCCGTTGATGTTTAATGTCCACCAGAAAGACTTATCCCTTTTCCTCCATTTTTGTCCTTTTGACACGTGCCCATTATTCTTTGAGCACCATTTTACTTTAAAAAATATATATGTATTTATTGATTTCAGAGAAGGGAGAATGAGAGAGAAATATCAATGAGAGAGAATCATTGATCAACTGACTCCTGCACTCCCCCTACTGGGAATCGAGCCCAGAACCTGGGCATGTGCCCTTGGCCAGAATCAAACCTGGGACCCTTCAGTCCACAGGCCAATGCTTTATCGACTGAGCCAAACTGGCTAGGGCACCATCTTACTTTTGGGCACAGATAATTCTAGGCTTCTATCTCTGTCTCCACTCTGGAATCACACTATTAGCCTACTTGTCTAGCCCTAGTCATAAGACCCATTAATGAGGAGCAATGGGGACAGGTCACAAGGAAGATTAGGCTCTCTTCTCTGGCCCCAAAGTTACCTTTTTTCTCAGCAAAACAGATCCTGCAGTTAACAGAACCCACTGTTCTTAGAAAGCAGTTTACAGGAGGTGAAGCAATTTTCTTAAGGCTGCTCAGCAATCTCACAGGCTACCATATCTTGGCCTTTCATCGTAAAATGTGCTTCCTGGCTGTTAACTCTTACCACTATATTGTTAGAAATATTACCTATGGTAAAGACTTCATCAATAGGATGGAATTCAAGATTTAAGACCTTTTTAATAGTCTCTCATACAATTTGTTTAAATTTTAAATTTTCAGATTCACTAGGCGATGCCTGAGAATTTGCATTTTTATTTTTATTTTATTTATTTTTTTAAATATATATTTTATTGATTTTGTACAGAGAGAGAGAGTTAGAAACATCGATGAGAAAGAGTCATCAATCAGCTGCCTCCTGCACACCCCCCACTGGGGATGTGCCTGCAACCAAGGTACATGCCCTTGACTGGAATCGAACCCGGGACCTTTCAGTCCCCAAGACGATGCTCTATCCACTGAACCAAACCGATCTTGGCTGCATTTTTAAGTTCCCAAGGTGTGCGGATCCACACTTTAGGAACCACTGGTGTATTAAAAAACAAAAACACGTTAAGGAAACACTCATTCAAACTACATTTGTAATCCTCTCACTATGCTAGGTATTGTTCTGGGTCCCAAGGATATAGTGATAAATCCTTGCCCTCAAGATTCCAACTTCTATACTAAGACATTAAAATTTACAGTAATTAAAAGTGTGATGTTAGTACAAGAGTAGATATAGTAATGATATGGAGTAGAAAAGTACTTGGGTTTATAAAGAATCTACATTAAAGACCGTATTACAGAATGGCTTCAGGCCTAAGTTGTACAATTTAGACACAATTGGGCTTCCTAGCCCACTCACATGAATCACTTGAAACTTCTTTACACTAGATCTTAAAATGGGGAAAAGATAGATGTGGCACCAAACTCGTGATATGGATGCTCTGAAATTCCTAATTCCTGATGAGTTTCTGGTGAAGGATGGGATCTGGATGAGCCCCCAGCTTTGGCTGACGTGCAGTAATGAGGAAAACGGTTAGGCTGTCAGGCATGATCTTGAAAGGCTCTCACTTTACTGTGCTTCTCTCCTTTCCCTACTCCCCGAAATGAGAAATCTCTTGTTCAGGTGGTCTTTCAAGTGAGAAAGAAACACGTGGTTCTAGGACAATTTAATTAATCGAGAAAAAAAAGTATACCAGAATAACTTCCAGAGGGAACCAAGTTTAAAATGTAAAAAATAAAAACAGAACAAGAGAACACAAGTGATTCTTTATCTGATAGAGGCTGAGAAACAAAGAACAACAGAAAGGATTGATAGATTACATAATTTACAAATTAGTAAGAAAAACATGACTGTAATAATGGGAAATGAACAAAAAGTTAATTGGACAAAGAAATACAAAATGGTTTATTAAATATGAAAAATAATTTAGCCTCCCTTGTTAAAGTGTCAAATTTAACTACTAAAAACCATTTTCAATATATCAAATTGACAAAAATGAAAAGTCTGGGTCCAGCCCATGCAGGTGCAATGTTATGGATGAGGCAAGTGGGCGCCTGTAGATGTTAAATGAATAAAATGGTAAAAACCTCTGTAGAAAGCAATTTGAAAGTAAGCTTCAAAAGCTTTAAGAATATTCAAATACTTTTCACAATAGATGTAAATCAAACCATTATGTGATATGCCTTAAACTTTTATAGTAATATGTCAATTATTTCTCAATAAAACTGGACAAAGGTTCATGCCAAATCTGTCCTTTTGTATCAAAAAACCTAGTAACTTTATTAAGCAGACTTCCATTTGTGTGTCTCTTTAGTTTTACCAACTAGTCAACACCATGTTATACATCAGATCCTAATTTGTATCAAGATCATTTGTATTGCCGAGACCAGTTTGGCTCAGCGGTAGAGCGTTGGTCTGCGGAATGAAAGGTCCCAGGTTCGATTCCGGTCAAGGGCATGTACCTTGGTTGCGGGCACATCCCCAGTAGGGGGTGTGCAAGAGACAGCTGATCGATGATTCTCTCTCATTGATGTTTCTAACTCTCTATTCCTCTCTGTAAAAAATCAATAAAATATATTTTTAAAAAAAGATCATTTGTATTACATCCTTACTTGTACAAGACCCACTTGTATCTCATAACTTGCCAGAACTGTCACAGAGCAACCCTTAGCAGGAGCTGGGAAGTATTCTTGACTATACACATTATCATTTCCCCACCCAAAGTGGGGTTTTGCTAGACGAAGAGGCAGTAGGGGATCTGTTTAATACAAAATACTCTGTAGTTATTACTGACCTAGAAAATACAATATAATGTAACTGAGAAACTAAAGAGACACAATACAATCACAATATAATTTGTTAAAAATTATAACTTACATATATACACCCCCCCAAGGGAATAAAGTGTTAATAATATAGTTAATATCTACAAAGTTTGCATTTCAAGTCAAAAGGGGTATTAAAGGGTGGACATAGTTTTTTATCTTACTAAAAAAATTTTTTTGTACTTTCTAAATTTTCTAGAATGCACTTGTATTATCTTTATAATAAGAAAAAAATTATTTTAAAATTCCCATATGCTTTAAAAACTAAGTCCAAAATGTTTATACTCATTAATTTTCATCTTCACTGTCAAAAGAAAGGAGGCTACTGTTTTTTACTTGTTTTTGTGTGTTCTTTTTAACTGAGTCCTGCTGATTTATTTCATCTTCACTAGTCTTTTTCTTTTTTGAGCTTGCTGTTAAACCTGAATATTTTTCATCCGGGGAACGCTTCACTGGTTTTCGATACATGATTCTTCCATCAGCTGAAGCTGGCTCTTCATCTGCAGTAAAAACAAAGTTGAAGTTTCTTTTCCTCTTATTATATTGACTTTACTGGATAGTCAAATGGCAAGAAAATCCTGTACTGTATTTAAGGAAATCCTATAATCAGTTAGCCTCATCATCTCCACTGCCTCTCGGCTCTATGGGATACGACCTGCAGTCCCTTACTAAGTGCTTCCTGAAGTAGTCTATAATATTGCTAGTCCTTAATTGATTACAATCAGGCTGTATTTTTAATTATTTTGAAAAGTGACTATATGGCATTCCATCATTTTCTCCTAAAGCAATGTTATATAATAAATAGTTATGAATAATGAAAAATTTATTACATAGCATACCACACGTCAGGTATTAAACACATCTCTGTTGCTTAATTTGTGAACCTAACCACCTATTTTTTTAAAAAGCAGAATGTTTTTACTTAAACTTATACTTAGTCCTCATAACAACCCAATAAGGTAGGCAGGTATTGACCCATTTCACTAATGAGATAACTGAAGTCGAGGTGAAATATCGTCTTCAAGGTTACATATCTGTAAGTGTTAAAGCTAAAGCTTGAAAGTAGGACTATCCTTCAAACATACCATTTTATTATATAAAATAACTTCATACTCCAGGCTCCTTAAATTGTTAGAAAAAGCAGAATCCTTTTAGACTTACCTGCTTTGGCAGCCTTTATTTCTGCTTTGATTTTCATGACATCTTCAGCTGACAGGTCTCCCTTTTTTAAAACCACCACTTGGGGCTGTTCATCTTCTTTGTCACTGTGATCACCATCTTCATCTGGGAGCTGAGGCTGGATTCTCTAGGGGAAAACACAAACATGACTTGTCGGTCCCTGACCCCAAACCCAAAACCACCACTGTCTCTGAGAAACTGGAACTGCTAACGTGAGAAGGGGAACTTTATTGACTAAATGTGTTTGGCAATAAATTTTCAACTCAGGAACCTAACCTCTCAGGCAGGGAAGTGGACTGGCTGCCAGCTACCCTAGGGTGACTATCCAATGGGATTAGTTCCCATGTCAGCAGGACCGGAGCTTGCAGTTTCCCGTGTCAGAGCCTCTGCTTCACATGCTGTCAGGGTTCCCAGCCTGCTCAGGACAGTGCTAACCCACTTCTGCTCTTCACCAACCCTTTCACTTCCATCTCTTCCCAAAGTGTGACAAAAAATAAGCAGACACTTCCAAGCACAGAAAGCTTGGTAAAGGTAAAAGGTAAAAGTAAAAATAAAAGCTTTCTCCCAGCTTTGCTCATCTCTTTTCCCAACAGCTTGTGTAGAGGTCTCCTATCAGCTGTTTTCTAAATGTGTGAAATTATGGAGGAATATGAAATATTTTGTGCTTTTCCTTTTAAATTATGAAATTACTTGATAAGGCCATTCTCTATTTTTTTAAGTCCATTCTCTTTAATGATATCCATTCACTAATGATTCATTAGTTTTACCTGTTTGTCTCTGAAAGGTTCCAAAAAATGACTACAAACAAGTAAGCAGTTAAGTTCTGTTAGCCAAGAAAATGGAAACGTGAAATGAAATCATTCCTGGTGTTCACTGGATTGAGAATCATTAATTCTGATGTTTTGTTTATGCAACTGGCTGGAAAACGAGAAATCGTCTAAGGAACAGTAGAAGCAACCCTTAAAACTGTTCAAAGTCAATCCTGAATTAACTCTCAAGAAGTCGAGTAAGATGATTTAGAACTCGACTATAAAATGAACTCTTTCCTTGTTTTTGTTAACAGATCACTAGGATGATGGTTATATTGCCAAACAAATAAATGATGAATTTGGTTTCACAAACACAGGAACATGGGGTATCTCTTTAAGGAAAAGTCTGCTGATTCCATAAATAAGGCCAAATCTCTGGTATTAATTGGAAAGCTTTTCCCTCCAGAGTTCTAAGATAACATTCCAAACTGTAACCATAAAGGTGTTAACTTAAAATTGAAGTGCAAAATGATATGAGTTATTACAGATGAGATGGACCAGTGAAGAACAGGAGGAATATCTGAGGGAGGTCCTAGTGATGATCTCAAACAATAAAATTAGGTCTCATTTTTTGCACTGCTGAATCCGCGTCCTAGCCTCATCCTCTTTGTTGTCATCACTACTTTTGGTCCTAGGGATCAGTCACTTCCTGATAATGTTATCGCTAACCAAAAATGGGTCCTTGTTGCAAATGAATAGTTTATATGGCCTCACCTCAATCAGCCCCTCAATCACTTCTACATACATTCCATAACTCACCATCTCTACACTTTTGCCCATGCTGTACCTTCCATCCCTACCTGCTGACCTATTCATACTCAAGATTTAATCTAAATATCCCCTCCTCCCAGAAACTTTGCCTGATGACAAGCATAGTCATTTAACCAATGTAACTTGTCACCCACTATGTTATGCGAGGCACTGTGCTAGGTGGGAGGAAAAAAAGTGATTTGAGATATTAATTTAGAGGGTTTGATTTGATAGTGAAAATACACAGGGGATCAAGTAAGTTAAATGCAAAATGATATGAGTTATTACAGATGCAATGGACACAGTGAAGAACAGAGGAGGACTATCTATGCGGAGCTTCAAAAAGCTTCACAGAGGCAGTGACCTCTGAACGCTGAGATGAGGCAGGCAGAAGGTGTTAAAGAATATGGCATCTGGAGATCCCATCTCTTTGTCTTTTCAGAGCCTGGCATAACGCCTGGGTTTAGCACATACTCACTGGATTGAGCCATTTCACATGAATCCGTCTGTCTCTTTTACTAAGCTCTAAGAGACTTGAGGGTTAGTCTTGGAGCAAGTGCTAGACACAAAGTGCCAAAAAGTTATTTCTCCACATATCCACTAAGCATAATGGTCTCTTCCCGTTAGGTAGGGCAGGACTTGGTGTGAACCAGGTAGGGGTGAAGCCTGGGAGGGCTCAAAAGTTGATTCCCACGGATTTCATCCCTAAATTATTCAGATCCTAAAATATTCAGATGTTGCTTTTGATATATTTATAAACAACAAAGCATAGGAATACACCCAAGGCATTCCTCCAAAAATGTTCCAGACTACAGGCCTAAGACATCAGGCCTTCTGACCGAGTGGCCTCCGTTTATCTGGAAAACAGGACGGCACTACCAACCACCGTGCTAACTTTTGAGTTTGGGGAGAAGCGAGCGAGACAGGAGAGGCAGGAAAGGGATCTCTCTTAACCATCCACCGAGGACGAGGCGCTTTACCTGCGTCAAGTCACTTTCGAGAAAACGACAGAGAGGTTCCTGGGCACAGGGGGCTGCAGCCGTTTGACCAGCATGGGGTCCGGGACTCACTCAGATGGAGGCGGGTGCGGGTGCGAGGAGTGACCGGTCAGTGCCTGGACTCTAAGACCAAGCAGAAGCCGGAAGTGGCGGGCGGGCTCACCTTGGTCTCTACGGTGGGCCCTTCCCGGTAGCCGACCTGCTCCTTGAAGCGGGCCAGGAAGGCCGGCTCGGCGGGCCGCACGTAAGACACCTGGTTCCGCTTGCTCATGGCGGCTCCGGGGAAACAGCGGCGCCCTGGGACGGTCCGGAGTCTGCGCAGAGGCGACGGCGCCTGCTTATGACGTCACACGCCCCCGCCTCCTGCGTGAGGCCGGCAACATGGCGGCGTAGGTGTTTACGTCAACGTCTTCCCTGGGCGCCAAATTCAAACCCGCGGACATCTTGAACGAGCGGAATCCGGGTTCGCTGCGCGCCCGGAGCCGGGGGGGATCCCTGCATTGGTCTCGGGGTTCAGAGGAGAGGGCGCCATGGCGCCCGGCTCCAAATGTAAGTATGGCCCCCGGCGCCGCTGCCCCGCCCCCGCCCCCGAACACAGCGGGGAGAGGACGCCGCCTCTGGGGTCCCCGCAGCCCTGGAGAGCGGGAGCGCGCTGAACGGCCGGAGGCCTCTGGCATCGCTGTCCCTCAGAGACCCTGAAGGATGGCTCTTCCCTCTCGTCTGTGCAGGGTCGGGCGCGGTGCACGCTGCGGGCCCGGACGGCGCTGGGCCCCGGGGGCGGGGTCCGCTTGGAGCGGGGTCCGCTCGCCGTTCTCACTCCGGTTTCGCGGCTGGGCCCTTCCTGTGTGCCACCCGGGCTGCCTCTCTCGGGACCCTGGCCCGAGGACCGGTCCTGCTGCCACCTCCTTCTGCATATTTGCACTCGGCTCCCCTTCCTGGACGGGGCACTTATCCAAGTTGCAGGCGCCTCAAGCACAGCTTTCTCCCCCGAGGGCCCGCTATAGGCTCTCTTAGATAGGAGACTATTAAAGCGCAACTCAGCAGCGCCTGCATCCCACAGTCCCTATAGTCTCCTCATGGAGACCCCTCCAATTTCTCCCTTTTCTCACGGAGAGCAGCGCTGTCATTTTTACTTTCCATAAACCCTTTAATTTTCGCTGATTTCTTGGTCCTTTAACTGTTCCCTGTGCACTACACGCCCCACCGCTTACGTCGCCTAATCCCTTTCCGCGTTGGTTTTTGGAGCTGATTTTGAGCTCATCTGATGCATCTCAGTGAGTGGTATGAATAGCAATGAGGAGAAGCCTAGGGAGACGGAAGAAATTGTGAACTTTTAGTGTTTGAGCCTTCCAACAACAAAGCTTCTAGCTGTCAATAGTGATGCTCTCCTGATGTGTTTGCTGTTTCATTAACCTTTGAGGTCAGTTATAACACTACCTGAAAACCTCCTTATGCTCTCTTGTCCATCTAAAAATGTTCCTTTTCCTCCACAATTTTTAAAACATTTTTTATAAACATTTTTATTGATTTCAGAGAGGAAGGGAGAGGGAGCGAGAGACTGGGGGGAGAGAATCATTGAACGGCTGCCTCCTGCCCTGCAGGACCTCCACTGGGGATCCAGCTGGCCACCCCAGCATGTGTCCTGACCAGGAATGGAACCATGACCTGGTTCATAGTTAATGCTTAACCACTGAGCCACACCGGCAGGGCTGTTCTGCTACTTTGATTATTCAGGGGACATTAGCACACAACTTGGTACATTATTGGACCAAAATGTTTTTTCTTTTTTTTTTTAATGACATTTATTTTTATTTTATTATTATTATTTTTTAATCAATCTTTATTGTTCATATTATTACAAAGGTTCCTCATTTCTTCCCCCCTCCACCAGGTTCCCACCCCACTCTCCGCCCCCTTCCCCTCCCCCATTGTTCTCGTCCATAGGTGCACAGTTTATGTTCAGTCTCTTCTTCCCTCCCTTTCCCCAATAGTAAATCCCTTTTCAGATAGTAAATCAGTTACTTAGCATTTTCTCATACCAATAATACCTCCACATGCCCAAAGATACACTTCACACAGAAGACATTTCCCTCCCAATAGGTCAACTAGCCTCATCCAGGCCCCACCCAAGGCACTCACAGATCAACACCCCAGCCCTATACTAACTCAACACATCCAGATCTAAGCCTTCATCACTTGATTCAGCAGACCCTCAAGTTCCCGCAAAAGTTTCCAGCCATGTCTGAGAGGCAGCCGGACCAAAATGTTTTATGATGCTGTCTGCACAGCCACAGCATTTGTTCAGAACATCTGGACTCAAGCAAGAGAATTGATGCCTATGGCATATTAGTGCAAAAAAGTGGTGTATGTATGTCTATCAAAGGACTCTGCCTTGTCTGTACATCGCTTTCTGGAAGTGATGGGAGCAAGGGTATTCACAGTGCCCCTTTGTGATGCTGGGATGTCCATGGGGAATTCTCCCCCTCCTTTAAGTTTGTTAGCAAAGCTGAGGTTGATGACATCCCATCGATGCACCTCTCGCATTCCCAGCAGCCCAGAGACCCAGAGCATGAAGTGGGAGCGAAGGGGCGGAGAGAGGACACGCAGTGCTCTCTGCAGCTTTTACCTTTGTGCTGTGGAGGTTTTTCCTGGGACCCCTGGAGAGAAATGCAGTGCGCACTCCTGGTTGGCCAGAAGAACCTCCCCTAGAGCTTAACTAATCACGTGGTCCCCAAGGAAAAGTCAGCCAGTGGCTGTGATGAGGAAAGAAAAGGTGGGAAAACAAACGGAGAGGCAAGTCATTTGTTTGAGATGGAAATATCAGTGGCAGAGCCATGTCTTCACTCCACACCTTTACGTTGAAAGTATTACCTATGTCCCCCCTCTTTTCCCATTGACACCCCTGCCTCCTGCCCCAGGCCTCCACCACCCTCTTGTCTGTGTCCAAATTCTTTGGTTTATCTCTTCTCGCTTTCCCATATCTTAGGATATATTCCTAGAAGTGGGATCACTAGGTCAAATAGCAGTTCCATATTTAATTTTTTGAGGAATCTCCATACTGTTTTCTATAATGGCTACCCCAGCCTGCATTCCCACCAGCAGTGTTCTAGGGTTCCCTTTGCTCCACATCCTTTCCAGCATTTGTCATTTATTGATTTGTTGATGGCAACCATTCTCACAGGTGTGAGTTGATACCTCAATGTTGTTTTAATTTGCATCTCTCTGATGATCAGTGACTGCGAATTTTTTCATATGTGTCTTGGCCATCTGTATGTCTGCTTAGGAGAAGTGTCTATTTAGGTCCTTTGCCCATTTTTTCATTGGGTTATTTGTCTTCCTTTTGTTAAGTTGTATGAGTTCCATATATATATTCATATTTTTTTCCAGTTTTTTATTTCTTTTTCTTTTTTTCTTTTTTTTAAATATTTTTTATTGATTTTGTACAGAGAGGAAGGGAGAGAGAGAGAGAGTTAGAAACGTCGATGAGAGAGAGTCATCGATCAGCTGCCTCTTGCACATCCCCTACTGGGGATGTGCCCGCAACCACGGTATAATACATGCCCTTGACCGGAATCGAACCTGGGACCCTTCAGTCCCCAAGCCAACGCTCTATCCATTGAGCCAAACCGGTCTCGGCTCCAGTTTTTTATTTCAAGAAAAATTATTTTTAAAAAATATATTTTATTGATTTTTAAAGAGAGGAAGGAAGAGGGATAGAGAGTCAGAAACATTGATGAGAGAGCAACATCGATCAGCTGCCTCCTGCACACTCCCCACTGGGTATGTGCCAGCAACCAAGGTGGAATCGAACCTGGGACCTTTGAGTCCGCAGGCCAATGCTCTATCCACTGAGCCAAACCGGTTAGGGAAAGAAAAACTATTTTAAATATAATAAATGTTACATGCAATAAACCTTAATATTTCAAGAAAAGTGATTTTAAATTATATTTTGGATATTAACTCTTTATCAGACGTATCATTGCCAAATATGTTCTCCTGTACAGTGGGCTCTCTTTTCATTTTGTTGATTTCTTTTGCTGTGCAGAAGCTTTTTATTTTGATGTAATCCCATCTGTTGATTTTCTGCTTAGTTTCCTTTGCTGTAGGTGATGTATTTGTATACATATATTGCATTGCACCTTTAAATACTTTGAGTGACTTTTTATCTTTTTTTTCCAGCTGAGTTGCGCAGTCTGACAAATTGTCAGTCTAACCAGCCAAGGTAAGGAAAAATCTTGTGAATGAGATTGGGGAGGTAGTTTTCTTAAGATAACAATGTAGCATAGTAAAGGATACTTGAAACAAAGGGTATTTGAGAATTTGGCTTGGTCCTTGTTTACCTGGAAATCTGGAAGAAATCATATCTCCCCATCACTGCCTTCTCACCTTCCAGGCTAAAAGTTGGAATCAGTATCTCCCATTTTTGTTATAGCTTCTAAGAAGGAAACTAGAGACAAGCAGTGCTTGGAGCTCCTTGGAATCAACTCCCTTGGAGTTGATTTGAAGTAAAGGCTTGTGAAGATGACTGTCCTGGAGTAAATCAGTAAAGGGAGTGGGTCATGTGGGACTCTTAAAAGCGGTCACTGTAAACGGGGTAAATCTTGGGCTTAGTTGGGAACCTCTCAGTATAGAAGCATTAGAGGCAATGTGAGCCTCAGATCCATTTTCAGTTTTCTTCACTAAACTCAGCTGCGACATGTTTTGTCTTTAGTAATGAAGGTGATGCCATCAAAGTTTTTGTGCGAATTCGTCCACCTACAGAGGGCTCTGGATCAGCTGATGGAGAGCAAAACTTGTGCTTAAGTGTGCTCTCCTCTACGACTCTCCGGCTGCACTCCAACCCCGAGCCCAAGACCTTCACTTTTGATCATGTTGCCGGCATGGACACCACTCAGGTAATGATCATTTTGGAAATGTAACTTTCCTTTTGGAAAATATAAGAATCTGTTCTTTGTGAGGATTTTGTTTCTGGTCTATTTGATTTGATAGATCTCAGATAAGGAAGCTCAGACAGTGCATAAATATTTAAAATTTAATTTTATTAAATGCTTTTTCTTCCTTCATTAAACATTGTATCAGAATGGCAAGCCTGCTTCACTGTTTCCTTCCAGTGAAGGTGTACTTTTCAGAGCCACTGGGTGATTGATAAGTACTGTTGATCTGACTAGTTTAAGGAGAGGTCTTAGCCAGCCCTGGCAGCTTGAGCAAAAATATCATAGACTGGATGGCCTAAATAAAAAATATTGGTTTCCAACAGTTCCTGGAAGTTGG